AATATTTTGTCAATTCTCTTTCAGTTCTTCCGATTCAAATAAAATAATAGTTCTTGTATACATATCTTTAATGGCTTGAATACAAGTCAAATCAACAACTTTCTTCTCAAGAACTCTCCAAAGGATATCTCTTGAAACCTTATAGTAAGCTTTTTCTAAATCAATAAAAGTCATATGTAGATCCTCCTTATTATATTTGAACTTCTCCATTAAACCTTTTCATAAATGCATAGCTTTCATGGTAGACCTGCCTGACATAAATCCAATTTGATTATGAGAAATCTTTGTAATATGGTCTTAACCTATGTTCAATTATCCTCTTATATAATTTTAAAGTGTGCCACATCAACTTAATTCCTCTATAATTGGCACACATGTGAATCCCCTTTATTCTTAAAAATGGGGACCAAAATACTCTTCCTCTTAAAATAATATTAAAAGCCAAGAAACTCCCAAATTTCTTAAATATTTCCACACTTCAATTGGGATATCATCAGGTCCTACAAACTTTCCACCCTTGGTATCTTATTCAATAATTTTTAATTGAAGTGTTGGTGTAGTATTAAAAGATCATTAATAATTTGGATCTAATCGAATAATTTTTACTATATATTCTTAATTAATACTTATAATTGATTATAAATCTTTATAGCCTTGTAGTCTATTAGGTTTTTTAAAAATACTACTCATCAAAGATATGTATATGTATATACATATATATATATTGTATGTATGTATATTATAAATCTTTGTAGCCTTATAGTCAATTAAATTTTTAAAAAATACTACTCATCAAAGTTATATATATAATTGATTAGTAGTATTTCGAGCCAAAACGAGTCGAGCATAAACGAACAAACCTTTGTTCTTGTTGTTCGTGGTCGGCTCGTTAACTTAGCGAACGAGCCGAACACAAACTTCTTAGTGAGCCAAACACGAGCTGTGTCGCGAACAACAAGCCGTTTTGACAGCCCTAAGTAGAGGTACTTCAAGAGTCCACACAAAAAATTTTTTCATCTTCACACGAGCTGTTCAAACCGTCCGCCTCTCTCAAGCAGCCGAAGCCTTTGCCGATCGAGTTAGTGGGAAAGCAACAAAGGAATCACAATAAATAGAGACCACCACGCACAAGTCCATCATACTGCTCGAGGCTGAAGACTCAACTGTTCCTCCTCTCCTGCTCTAATCCCTCGCGATACAGTCATGTGCGGAACGGCGAGAGAAGTAGGCAAAGAGGTAAAAGATTGAGTTTTGGGGAAGATAGATGTTGCGGTTTAGAAGGTCTTGATCCGGCTCATACAGGGAGCTAGCATCTCGACGGGGCGGGCGTGCCCTACTGCAGGTAAAGCTACTATATCTCCTTGTGGGTCTTAAGCTTGATGAACTGATCATATATCTGAGTTGGTCGCGTCGGATCGAGGCTTCTTCAGAAGAGAAGAGGCTAGAGGGATATCTGAGACAGAGGGTGACAATGCTGACGCGGATGAGTGGAGGACCACACATGCCTTTAGACTTGGTTTCTTAACTCGATGGTTCTATCGATTGTCTCATTAGCCGACGCGACTACTACCGACCACACAATCATCCCCCTTCAATTACAAGTTAATATATAACCTAACACATTTAAAAAAATATCAGATCAAATCCATCTCTAGCAAATTGCAAACATGAAAAAAAAAAATTGCAATTTACTGTAAACATGAAATAAAAAATTACGGTTTATCGTAGCTAGAATGATCTCTAGCAAACCTTTAACATGAAAGAGAAAAAAAGTTTGTGGCACATTGCAACAACTACACTGAAATCACGGCAGCTGCATTAATGTCACTGTAGCTACAATGAAATTATAAATTAAAACTCATAAAAGCATAAAAAAGACAACACAATTAAATTTTGTGAGGGGCTAGAATAACCAAACAATCGTAAACCTCATTGTATCCAGTGAAATGCAAAATTAAAGACGTATAATTTCACTGTTTCTACACTACAGTAACCAAAAAGACTCATAAAAGCATAAAAGATCGCAAACCGCACTAGTTGCGCCATTGTGGCAGAGGATACGGTGCGAGTGCGAGTGCGAGTGCGGGTGCGAGTGCGAGTGCGAGAGAGGATACGGTGCAAGTGAGGGAGAGGACAACGCAAACAAGTGTGATCTAAACCTGTGTGCGAGAGCCACGTGCGAGACGAAGATCGCCTGTGTGCGGGATGAAGACGATGCCTCCGGGATGAGACGACACAGACGATCCGAGTGAGGGAATAAAATGCACAGTTACTGTGCGGAGGAGAGGAAGGAAGAAGACGAAGGAGGAAACCTTCAAAGTCGAGTGCGAACTCGATGTGCGATGGAGGAAGTAGAACTCTACATCCGGCTAAAATCAGATAGGTTTTTATAATTAGGGATTTTTTTACCCTTTTTTTCGATTAGGGGCCGAGCATATCCCCGTGGGGTCTAATTATTAGGTGCGGAGGGCACGCACAGTTCTGCGTGCGCCCTTCGCACGCAATAATCGCTCCCTGTGGGGGGCTTATTGCACTTTTAAGTAAAAAAAAAATGGATCACTCTCAATCGGATGGCTCAGAGAAATCTCTTTGATATGATGACTTTCTTTTAGTGTCTTAATGATATAAGAAGTGAGTGATCTTGGGCTCATTGGATTTGCCTTGCCGAAACATTCAATTTGACTATAAACATGACATATTCGAAATTAGTTTGACATTCCAATTATGTTTGAAAAAAGTTTCTAAAGTGGTTCAATGGCTTGACTTGAGCTTGATTTGAGTCATGTTATACAAATTTTGATATTCTTGGGTTCGTCTCGTCGAACCGATCAATTTGAATGTTTCTTGCTAAAATAATTATTTGAAAAATCGTATCACAGGACTCGTGTCAGATGATAAAAATTTATGATGGCAGATCAAAGGTAGATGTTTTCATCATACTATTCATGCTTTTGTGTGAGTTATAGATAAATTAGAGACGTTATATTATGAGTTGATGTACGATCTTGGTTTGAGGAGAACAATAGCTATACTGAATGGAATGTGACTGATGTTTTGAGTTATTTATAATGATCCGTTGCATTATAGCGATTATGTGGGTTGGGTTGTGATAATGACATAAATAGCAGGGGAAACTTTGCTATTTACAAACCAAGCAATTAGACGAGTTTTTTGAACAATTGAACTAAAGTATTTACGCATGCCACTATAAGTTGTGATTTTATCATGAGTTTTGATATTTGACCGAGAATTTGAAAAATGGATGAAAGAGGGTGCTTGATTTATAAGTGATTTGTATATAATTCCCCTAAAAATATACATGAGGATTGAGAAGTTCTTGTTTTATGAGATGAAGAAAAGAACATTGAGATCGAATCATGATAAAAGATTTGTGTGAGAAGGGCTTATGAGGCTACGAGCCCACATAGGGCCAATCTATTAGAGTGTAAATGAGCCGAGTTGGAGCGAGCTCAGACGCGTCTCGTGCGCTGCTTGTTAAAAAATATCATTGTTCGCGTTCAGTTTATTTATATATCGAGCGTAAATTGGCTCATTTGTTTAGTGAGCCAAACACAAGTTGTTTGCAAATAACGATTCATTTTGATAGCCCTGATCACACGGCCAAAAGATCTTAATGGTAGTGGTAAGATTTAAATCATATTATTTATATTTAAATATTTGTTTAAATAGAATTTAATACTTTTTATTAATAATTTAAAATTGATTATAAATTTTTTTAGCCTTGTAGTCAATTAGCCTATTTTAAAATTATATATATAATTTAATTATTTTGAGTAAAAACGAGCAAAAAACGAACAAATAAATCTTCTGTTCATGCTCAGCTCATTAATATATCAAGCGCAAAAGAGTTATTTATTTTCAGCTCATTTGTTTTGCGATCAAATCGAATGCAAGCTACTTAACAAATTGAACACAAACTGTTCGCGAACAACTAGCCATTTTGATAGTAGCCCTATCTTATGAAATGCTGAGGAGAGAAACTAAAGTGCATGTAATCTAACTCCAGTCAAGTCTAGAAAGAGATAATTGAGCATTTATATAAAACCACCCAATTGCTAGTTATTTACATAACCCCTAAACTATACTTTTTTTGCATCTATACCACCAAAACTTTCATATCACATCAAAACAACATTATCTTAAACTTTAAAACATAAAACACTTTTTCATGCACAGATAAGATAAAGTGGCATAAATGTAAAAAATAAAATTTGATATGTAAATACATAGATATTGAGTAGCATGTAGGTAAATGTTAAAATTATGCAGCCAAAATAATTATGTTGTTCCAACTCATTCCATGCCAAATTCTTACCTAAAACAATCTAAATATGGAACATACGAAGACCTTCAGAAATTCAGGATCAAACTAAACTAGCAAATTAAATCATAAATCTCTCTACGAGCCGAGAAAACCACGACAAATTGTGTGCCGAAATCTCGGGACCTTACAATAATTTCAAAACATTTATTTAAACAAATATCCACCTTTTACCATACTAATCAACAAAAAGACAAGAAGAAGCAACTCCAGACAACTTACAAACACTCAAGTTTTAGCTACATAAATAAATAAATAAATAAATAAATAAATAAATAAACAAATGAATACATATATATTCTGTCAATTTTAGCAGTCCTAAAGATATTTCATATGAAACTACTGACAATTATACATTATTTTCATAGGAAAATTTAAGTACATACCACTCAGTTCTTATGTATTTACATATCTAACACCTAAACTTCAATTGTTTACATGCTTGCCATCCTACCCATGCATGCAAAGGTGCATGACTTCTTAAAAGTTAAATTGGTGGAATTTCTCATCTAATGTGAAATATTTGGGTTGTGTAGATATAAAAAGCAAAATTTAGGGGCTAGATGTGTAAATAAATAGGAATTGGGTGGTAGCGTGCGTAAATGCACCATCAATCATCACAAAATTAAGCAACCCTTTTCTTCCACAACAAATGAAAATTAAATAAAAAAAAGTATCAATACAAAATGAATGTTTCCGAGATCATCTAGACAGCTTCCGAGTAATATGATTATCAATCATCAATTATGCATATTTCTCTATATTATCATTCGGCTCATAAACTCTTGACAAAGAAAGAATAATGCAAAATTTTGTTTGAGAGTGATAACTAAATGATGTAAACCTTAACAAAATTATAATGTGTTGGGTGCGAACTGTCTGAGTCTTGCAAGGGTGCTAGCTATGATTCAGCACAAGAATTTAAACCAACACCATCGGCTTTCGGAGCTGCGGATTCTTCGAAAGCAAGCTCAAATATCTGTCTGTAATCATCAACAAAATGGACATCAAGTCCCTCTTTCACATTATCAGCAAGCTCATCAAAGTCTCTTCGATTTGCAGCGGGGAATATGATCGTCTTCACCTCGCTCCTCCTTGCAGCAATAGTCTTCTCCTTAACCTAATTCATTCAACCAGGATACCAATCAGAATTATAATAGAGGAGAAAATCGTTATTAAAAACTATGATGAACTGGTAAGGGAGCTTATCATGAGCAAGAAGACAATAAATTGGAGATTTCTATGTTATTATCTTTCAAGGCAAATGAAGGAGAAGAAAGAAGGGCGTTTTGATAAACAATATTGGAGATACTGAAAAACACAGTTCAAAAGTGCGTTTGGAAAAGTTCTGAGTGCCAACTGCAGCCATTACAGTAGAAAGCTGCTGCCTATTACCCCATGAATTGCGCCGCAACACAGAAATTTGGAGAAGAGTAGCATTCGTTCCTGTTTACCCAACTGCTTCAAGCAAAGCCTCCCACAGTGATACCAGAGTTAACCAAAACACCAACTGGAAATACAAACATCATACTCCGAAATAGAAAATTATAAAATACACAAGACCAAATAAAATTATGGAATAGGTTAAGGGTGGTGGTGCTATGATTTGAGTGGAAGTCATAGGTATGGAGGACTGTATGGTCGAGGAGCAACAAACTTATAGTTGGTTGGGTGGATTGAAGGCAGCCGGAGGGTGTCATGGGGCTGCTGTTGGGCTGCAAAAGGAAGTGGGGTTGTGTGACTTGTAGCAGATGATGGTAGGATGAGCGATTGAACTAGACGAGGAAGTGTAATGCGGATGGACTGTAGGGAATGAAAAGGGCTGCGGTTGACTGCAGGTGGACAAAGCGGTTGTAATGGGATGGATGGAGGTCTCAGAGAAAGGGTTACGGTATGGACATTGCATGGTGGGCAACTAAGGATTGCTGGCGGAAGGTATGGGGGCTGCAGAAGATAGCAAAGTTGCCGCCGTGAGGTGGCTGAAGCAGTTACGGTAACAACGACAATAGAGGGATGATTGCGGAAGATGGTAAGCTCGAAGATAATCAACACCTCGGAATGCGATACAGTAGGAGCACCACTCACCCTTGGATACAATACTAAGGGAAAACTTGGAGCCGTCGACGGCTATCCCAACAGAAAACACACCAAAATTTAAAACCAAAAATGTGAAAAGCAAATAAATAATAATATGAAAATTACGATTGGGCACACTATTGAAAGGAGGCTCCAAACCTACAAGTAGGAGCCGAATGGCTCTCACCTAACATAGACCGGTGGATCGAGGTGCTAGAATGTGGGTGGGGACTACCACACCCCTCACATACCCGTGTCAATCTCCCGACGTTGGGCGAGCTTCATCACTCACCAAAATTTTGCAATGGGTGTAGAATATTTTGTGGAGAATCCACTGCTGCTCCTCTGTAGCCTCAATTTGAAGGACCTGTCGAATCACAAGCATCTCACCCCTCACATATCCGTTGTAGCACTCGGAGGAGTTGTCGTTGCATCTATTCCATAGTAAACTCCTAATCAAGTTCTGACAATTGTCTCCTCGGCGACATAGCTAGGGGTTAATGTTGGAGGGATAGACGGGTGTGTAGTGGTGGTTTGAGTGAAAAGGACGGAAATTTTTCTGAGGGCTGATTTGGGTAATCCTAGACTAAGACTAGTGTTAGGCTGGCTTTGGTATCAAATGATACTGGAGATATCCAAGAAACAACTGAAAATGCAAGTTTTATTACTAAAATCAAATAAAGATTTTAACCAAGACACTTGAAAATATGAAAATAGAAAAGACACAACACAAACTCAAACTAGGCTTAGGTCGAGGGTAGTAGTGTTGTGGTTTGAGAGGAAGTAATAGGTACGGAGGATTTTATGGTTGGTTGGATGGATTGAAAGTAGCAGGGAGGGTGTTACGGGGCTGCTGTTGGGTTGTAATAGGGAAGAAGGATTGCGTGACTTTTGGCAGGTGATGGTAGAAGGGGCGGCTGGACTGGAGGAGGAAGTGTTATGCGGGTAGACTGTAGGGGAGGAAAAGGGCTGCAGCTGATTGCAAGTGGAAAAAGTGGTTGCAATGGAATGGATGTAGGTGGCAGGGAAGGGTTACGACAGGGATGAATGGTAAGCGGTTGAGGATTGGTGGTGGAAGGTATGGGTGTTGTAGGAGATAACAAAGGTGCTTTTCTTGGAGCGACTACAACAATTATGGTGATTGCAACGGCAGAGAAAAGGTTGTGGAGAATGGGAAAGTCGAGGATCACCATCTCGGAATGAGATAAAGCATGAGCACCGCTCACCCTTGGATACAACCCTAGAAGGAAATATTTGGAGATGTTGACGGCTGTCTCGACAAAAACACACAAAAACTAAAAGTCTAAAACACAAAAAAACAAATATATGCTAATAGGATAAATAGGATCGGGTTCCATTTTTGAAAGGAGGCGCCAAACCTAAGAGGAGGAGCTGAACAACTCTCCCCTTGCTTGGACCAGTCGGTTCAAGTGCTGGAATGCGAGTGGGCACTTTGGCGCCCCTCTCATGGCCGCATCATACAGACTTTATAATTCAACCAAAAATTGACATATGAATTAAGAAAAGTGTCAAAAAGGTTCTTTGACTCTTTGTCAAGGGTCATTTTAATCCTCAAATTCTATCAAAATGTCCATTTAGTTCCCAAATTCTTTTAAATGGGGCTAAAATAGACCTCCATGAGAACTATTTCAGCTCATATTGAGAACTAATTTGATGCATTTATAGACTCAAGAAGTGAAATGAAGCATGTAAATAGTCAGGGGACTATTTTGGCTCTTTACTCCATAAGAATTATATGTAACTTAAAATTGAATAAGTTTAGAAGTTCAGATTCCGAATTAATCGCGCATTAAGAGGCCCGAAATAGGTTCTTTGTTTTGTCATTTATGTTGTGTTTTGGGCAGCTTAAATGCTGCAGTGCGATTTGAAAACACTATATTGGATGTTTCTTCAGTGCGGTGTGGCAAATTATTTGGAAAATTTCTATAAAACATGGTCGCAGGCCTGACCCTGCAGCTCGCATTATATTGCTAATATATTACCGGGTTGCCCCTCCTCACATTCACATCTCTCCCCTACCCCAAAAGTTTGTTCTATCTGCCCCGCTCCCCTTTCTCCTCTCCCGCGTCTCTGTCCTAGCGGTTGCCTCCTCTCTCATCGTGTTAGAATCACCGAGAATCGTTTGCAATTTCCCTCATCTCCGTTGTCCTCCGGTATCTTCTTACCTCTCTTTGCCCATAAGGTTTTTCCCCTTTGCGGTTTGTGGTTGTTTATGTATGGCTTGATCGAGGTTTGTGGCTTTACTATATGGAGAAATAGTTTCTATAAATGATCTATTCCAATCCTGTTTTCCGAGAAATATGTGGTTTGTGGTTGTCATGTATGACTTGGTTTTTTGCGATTTAGTGTTTTACTCTATGGAGAAATTGAGAACATAGGGAGGGGAAAACACCAGATTGCATATCAATTATATTGTGAAATTTGGAAGCATATATGTATTTGGGGTTTTGGTTGTTTGCTCTTTGCTCTTTGCAGTTTTTTTTTCATTGTAGTTTCTGGGTTGTTGTTTTGTAGTTTAGGACTTTGCTTTATAGAGAAATTGAATATAGGGAAGGGTAAACACCAGATTGCATATCCTTTTTATGTAAAATTTGGAATTTTTTTAGGTCCATGAGGTTTTGGCTCTTTGCACTTTGTGGTTTCTGCTTCATATATGAAGTGCATTTTTTATTTGTAGGCCTTGCAGTTTCTCGTTCATCTTGGGTTGGTGATTGCAGGGTTAAGCGAGGGATGGTGGCATACAAGGATGTGTGGATTTCAAGAAAAAAAGTGCATTTCTTTTTTTTTTCTTTTTGGTGACATATGAGGGGTGGTTGCTATTGGTGGTTTGCGACCATTGTGTTTGATGGGTCGTTATTGCTGCTTTGCGGCCACTAATGATGAATTTGTGGTGGTGGTTGTGTCTGATGGTGGTGGTTGTGATGGTGGTGAATGTGATTATGTGTTGTTTGTTATTAGTGTGTTGGTTATGATGGTGGTGGTTGTGATGATATGGCAGTGAATGTGTTGGTGTTGATGATAAATTTGTGGTGGTGGTATTTATGGGGTAGTTTTGTTGTTGGTGTGGTGGTGGTGTGTCTGTTCTTTTCTGTTATCTTTCCAGATGCATGAGATAAGTTTTTATTGTCTGTCACAAATTTATGTTATTTAATTTTTCATGCTAGTAGACGTGATGAGTAAAACAAAAGAAATCAGTTAGTCTGTCATGTGAGATAAAAATGTTAAGCTAATATTTTGTAATCTCTCACTTAAAGAGGTTGAATAGAGAAATAGCCCAACCACCTATTTTAATAAAAAAATAATAGGAGAATATTATAACAAAATTGAAGAAAAAGACTAGGAAGAGAAAATAATAAAATGCAATCGAAAAATAAGTGTGATCAGTTGAAAAAGAACTGGAAAATATGAAAAGTGTTAAAATAAGGATCGACGGGCTTTGGATTGAGATCCGAGAAAGTGAATCGTTGATGTTTCAGAAGAATGGTGGGCCGAGAGATTGGAGGTAAAAATTCATGACACGTCCAATTCTTCAACTTTTTTAATATCAATTTCAATTACATCAATTATGAATTAATGTGTAGGTTGTTCCAACAGCAAAAAAATTCAAGTTCAATGGCATTGACCCTAAGCTTGAAAAAAAAAAAAGGATCGTATGTTTGGTAGAGGTGTTGCCACAGGTGATCATGCATGTGCACCAACCAAGAGAGAGTCTGTTAACAGAGCTGAGCATGTAGATGTTGTTCAACTTTTTTAATATCAATTTCAACTACATCAATTATGAATTAATGTGTAGGTTGTTCCAACTGCAAAAAAATTCAAGTTCAATGGCATTGAACACTTTGAGCTTGAAAAAAAATTGGATCGTATGTTTGGTAGAGTCGTTGCCACAGGTGATAATGAATGGGCACCAAGCTAAAGAGAGTCTGTTAACAAAGCTGAGCATGTAGATGTTGAGCAAATTGCTAACTCCAATGAAGGATCCAACCCCAACCTAAATGAAGTTGGATCTAATAGTCCTTCAAAACATCCAAGGGTTGATAAAAAGAAAATATGAATTTCATTAGAAGCCAAATTTCACAATTAGTATTTTCATGCATCAATGAGCCTAACACATCACAAACAACTTCTATTCAGTAAGTTGTGAAAATTCTAGAGGAAATTCAAAAAATTTATGAAGACATGCCGCTTTACTTGTTTTCCATGAAGTTGCTAGAAAACCAGACCAGGAGAGAGTTATTTCTATCGATGACACCTGACCGTAGAGTTAACTATTTTTACGCTATTTCCATGACAATCTGAATGCTTGAATTTTATTTTATTTGTTGGACATCATTATGTTCCACTGCTATGGGGACATTATTTACGTTATTTGGTGGACATTATCTATGCTACTCGGTGGATATTATAAAGCTTATAGTGAAGATTTATTTTTTTCTTGCGCTTTTTTATTTTTATTTTTATTTTTGTTTTGAGGTCTATGATGACATAAATGACCTCACGGGTTCTTTGGGACGGCCTTTGTGGTGATATTACTTTGTGACACATATGAGCTCAATATCACGTGGTTTAAAGATAACTAAAAACTCCTTATTTTTCGGTCAAATGACTGATGTGGCTTTTCTGGATGAAACTTGTGGTAATATGCTTCAGTGACACATACGAACTCGGCATTACATGATTTAATTGCAACAAAGAACCTTTTTTTTAAATATCTACTGTCTTCTTGCAGTGATAGATTACCCATTGGTTTATACTTTGTGCTCTTAGACCTTACAACTTTATAAAATTTTATTCATGTATTTCTATTATCTTTTTACTAATGTTGCATCCAAGTGTCTGTGCTTTTTTGGTTTAAACCTTAAGAAAAAATAAGCTCGAGGTTTATGATGACATAAATGATCTTAGGGGTTTTACTGGATGGCCTTTGTGGCGATATGCTTTTATGACAAATACGACATAGATATTCCATGGTGTAAAGATAACTAAGAACTTTTTTTAAGGTTTATTGTCTTCTAATAGTGACAGCTTATTCGTTGGTTTATACTGAGCTCAGAGACCTCACAACTTTATAAAACATTCTTGGACTATTTCTATTCTTCTTTTTTTACTAATATTGCATCTAAGAGTTTATGCTTTGTGATTTTAAAGCTTTCAAAAAAGATGAGCTCGAGGTCTTTCGTGTCTTTAATGTATTGCACTACTACTATGGATTATAGTGTTTTCTACTTTGTGATAGGAGCATAGCTACAAAAGACAATTTTACAGGTGTCCAAGGAATAAATCAGAGAACTGTGATTTTTTCATCTGGGTGGATTTGTTCGATGATTCCACCTCTGATAGTGATGAGACATGAAGAGTTTCATTGAAGTAAAATTATCTCGTGAAATTAATCGCATGCATTTTAAATTCAACATTATTATAATAATAATTGTTACTTTAATAGGTTTATTTTTTAAGTATGCTTGTTCTCTTTCTCACTTTTTAGTAAGATGTCAGTTTTATTATGTAATATTCAAACTGAATACTATTTTCATGTAAGAAATGTGCAACAATGATTGATTTTGTTGTGAATAACACAATAATACAGGAGCAGAAATGTCTTTTTATCATAAACAGTTGCAGCACAGCTGCTGCACAACTGTACAAAATAAACTGACAAATAGCTTCCCCGCAGTAGCTTCGTAGCACAGCTGATATGTTGTAGCTTTTTAATAAGCTTCAGCTGCCCCAAATAGATCTTTAATTGTAACTACTGTATCATATGAAAGCATTAGAATAACTATTTCTCTCTTCCTGATTTTATCCGCAGTTTGCTGGAATTTGTGAATAACCCTACAACATGTCAACATTATGCCTAAAAGTCCACAATTCTTGATTCAAAAAATAACCTAAATCAAGTTTCGTTGTCTAACCTCTATATATATAAATTTCATTATTTGCACTAATCTACTTTTGTGTTGAAATTTCTGTTGCAGGTGGCTGAAAATAAACCAACTTGCTGATCCAGCCATTGGGAACTCATGACATATGAGAGCCCACAGATCGCTGGTTGAAGACAGCACAGGAACATTGAAGACCGCGACTTAGAATAAAGATAGGGAGCAATTGTCAGCTATGAAATTGTATAGTTGTAGTAATATACTGCAGATACCCTTTTGGTTCTTTGGATAGTTGCTATTTGTACAATTGGACACTACTTCCAATTCCAATCAGCATGTAGGTCTCAATACAAATTATAATAAAATACAGGATCATTAGCATACAGACCACCCAATTCTTAAGTATCTACATATCTAACACCTAAACTTTACTTTTTATATTTACACCACCAAATCTCTCATATCACATGAAAAATACCACTATTACTAACTTCCTAAAAATGAAATACACCTTTTCATGCATAAGTTAGGTGGCATATATGTAAAAATTGAAGTTTAGGTGTTAGATATGTGAACACATATAAATTGAGTGGTATGTATGTAAATCTTCCTAAAATTAAATTAAAAATTATAACCTATCAAACAACCAAAGCATATTTAATAAAGAGGCTTCTGAAGCTTAAATTGCTCTTTCAGCATGTTTATTTAGGAGTTGCAGTTAGTCAAACCTAACCATACCACAATGCATAAAAATGGGGACTTTGACATACGTATTAAGAGGGAGCTACACAATAGAAAAATTAATAACAAGAAATTGCACTTCTGGTCAAATCATCAAGGGGATCGTAAGAAAAATGGCATAAAGTCTGATTTGAATTGTCTAAATATGAGACGCTAGCATAATTTAAAGGAGAAAAGAAGAATTTTTATTGAATGCGAAGGAGCCAAACAGAGTTTCAAACTACGGAGCAAAACTCTGTTACTCTGCACATAACCACCACAACGGTGAATAAGTATGCACAACAATACCTTCGAAGTTATGCTTTACAAAAAAAAATCTTGTAAACTAGTCAACAAGCTTAAATTTATAATTCAAGCCAAGAGGGAAAAAAAGAAATATTTCACAAAAAACTATTAAAATAAGAGCACAAAAAATGCGGAACATACCCCACCAATTGGAAGAATACGTCCAGTCAATGTAACCTCACCAGTCATGGCAAGATCCTTTCTTACAGCCCTATTTGTCGCAAGGGAGAGCAATGATGTGATCATGGTGCACCCAGCACTCGGCCCATCCTTTGGCGTCGCGCCAGCAGGTACGTGCAAATGAAGTTTTGAGTTTGCAAAAAAAGAACTTTCTGGAACTTTCTCGAGCAAAATTGCTCGGGCAACAGTGTGGGCAATCTGCGCACTCTCCTTCATGACATCTCCAAGTTGACCTGTAAGATGAAGCGTGCCTTTGCCTTCTCCTTGCTCGATGAGCGTCGTTTCAACATATAGTGTAGATCCGCCCAAAGCAGTCCATGCTAGCCCCATAACAACTTCTATTGGCATTTGGTCATAGATTTTATCAGCATGGAATACTGGTTTACCCACAAAACCAACCAAATTTGAAACATCAATTACAACTTTATCAATCACAGCATCATCAACAGCTTCTTCTTCTGTATCAATCACTTCACTGACCTATCAAAAAAACATTTCATCAAACACTCAGTGGTCAGAAAAAATAAAAACTTAGTTCACTGATCAGCAATCTTTTTTAAGCTACATGATTTTCAAAAAGGGCATTTACATAACATACCACACAATTCTTATGAATTTACATATCTAAAACCTAACATCATATCAGAAATACCACCATCAATACCCTTTAAAAAGTGAAATTCACATTTTTCATGCATAGGTTTATGATACCAATGTGTTATGATGCCATTCTAGGGCTACTATAAGGTGTTCGGAAAGGGGATTTGGCAGGGAGGTTGTTGTGGAATAGCAATGGGTGATAATAGGGGTGGTCAATAAACGACGTTCAGCAGCTGTCCAGGCTGAAAATGACAAAGATAGCAACAAAACGATGAGGAAAGAGAGTGTTAAGGAGATTCACCACACATTCCTCCATAAAGCACTTACAAAAGAAAAATAATATGACACTCCATTAAAGAAGAAATCAAAGATACAATCTCTAAACACACAAACCAAATCAAGTCTCCTAAAACAATTTTTACATATGATATGTATACTAATAGTTAAACTAAACCCTAATTACAAGAAAATGAAAGGAAAAATACAAAAAAGGTAAGAAAATTCTAGTTGATTTGATAGTAAGGCAGGTAGAAAAATCCCGCAAGGAAAATTTCACGGGATGACATTCCCGTCCGACCCATCCAGCAATCATAGTATTTGCAAAAATCTCAACGGTATTGCTGCTCTGGGCTCCTGCGTCGTGTGTTCTGCAGTTATGCGGGTCCCTGGCTTCCGCATCATTCTCCCTGGGTATGAGAAGCTTTGTCTTCATCCCAAGAAACTTTTGCAACCAATTTATCACAGTCGTAGTAAATTCATTGTCTTGATGTGTCTGAAGAAACTATATTACAAAATATATGCCCACGCTTATTCCAAACAACTCTGAAACACACTTATCATTCCAAAGATTGTTCTGATATAATAAGTAGTTATTCCTATTTGGCACAACCAAAGCTGGAACTGAATCTGGGCTAATACTCCCACGAACCAAGTCTCCAACCATCAAGTGTGTAACATGCTTTTGAAAGTTCTCATACTCAGATGGTTGTATCCCATAAAAGAGTTGGTTTGGCCTAAAAATTTCTAGAAAGAGATCTATGACATGTTGAATCTCTCTTGATGGTAGTCGCTCAGGAGGTAAATTGTCAATCAAGTTATCCGACAACTCCTGCAACAGGGGCTAATCTTTTTCAAATATTCACTCCTCGAACTCATTATCTTCTAAGACAACCAAAAATACTCTTGTTGGAGTCTCTTTCATGGGCTAAGCACTAGCATCGCTTTTTTCATCAGTTGGAAGTCAGTACTTCTCCCTGCTCCTATTCGGTGAAGAAAATTAACCTCCTATTTGAGCAATCATATGTAATATGCCCCAATATGTGGCACTTGAGGCACTTCATTGCAGGCATGAATTTGGGAGTGCTAGAGTTCTCCGCTTTTCCTCCACTCTAAACTCATTTTTCCTTGAGCGAGGTTGATTGTGATACTTCATTGGGTGGACTCCTGTTGCTTGATCCTAGGGTTGAACTATGTCTGTAAGGTGTGGTTGTCAGCTGGTGATATTCTTCCAGCTTTAAAACAAGCGTTTGTACATCGAGTAGGAACCAATTCGGCTATAACTACATCACATAGTTAATAGTCAACCTCAGTCCTCCAAAGCACCTCGTTATTGTGTTCTCCTCTGACTCCAACTCACATTTTAGCATGAGTTGATCAAATTCAACTGTGTACTCCACAAAAGAATCTCTGTGGTATAGGTGGTGGAGTTTAATGCGCCTGTCTGGTCGCATTCCATGCCTGACAGACGGTTTCGTCTCGCAATTTGATGCGCCCAAAGTCTGCTGCGTTGCCTCGTAGATTGACGCGGCTCGCCAAGCCGCTCCAAAATCTGACCGCAATCATCTTGCCTGTGGAGATGGCCTCGACACTACGTTCCTATCCCAGTGCCATTGCCATTGCCGACGACTTTCCTAATCCTACTCGTAACCCTCTTTCAGGTTCATTGTCTGGTTTTGGTATTGGTAAGTCCTGCAATGTTCCGCAATCCTTCCACGACGCTCTTGAAGGTGGTTGTGATCACACTTTCATTAAAATAAAAAAAATCAGAATCTTGTTCTTTTTCTCTCTGAGGTTGAAATCAGTACTCTTGCGTATTCTTAGTATTTTGCTCTAGTGGGAAAATTCCTTTATGACCACCCAAAACTTGAGATTATTCAGAAAGATTTTGATGTTATGAAGTTATTAAGTAGTTGGAACATTGACTTACTCGACGACCTAAATATATTTATTAAGTTATCTCACGATGCGGATTGCACTTGTATTTTTTCTCGTAAGGTAATCAAAATTGACAACCATTTTATGAAAATCTAGAAGTGGACTGTTAATTTTGATCCAAAAGCGGAGTCCCCTATTATTCCTGTTTGGATAAAGTTTCTGGGGTTAAAGCTACACCTGTTCAGCTCGGAAATCTCTACTCCTTGGCAATTGTTTGCGGTAAGTCTTTCAAGGTACGCTTGCTATCACCAGACCCTCTGTGGCTTATGTGTTAGTTGAGAGAGATATCACCCAACCAGCTCCGAATGAGGTATTGATTGGAACGACTCACAACGGGTATTGACAAAAGATTGAAATAGAACCACACCCTCCTTATTGCTCTCATTTTAGTATGTTTAGCCACAGTTCTACTATTTGCTATCGCTTGCATCCTCATCTAAGACTGGATATTGCTAAAGATCAACAACTTATTCAAAAATAATGTGCAACCCGACCCTCTTTCCAATACGACATATACCTCTACTCATCTGACTGACGTTGTTCCCGATGAAGAACATTACACCCAAGCCGTTCTAGCCCTGGATGCTCCTGCTTTTAAACACTCTATTCCAGCTGTTGGTTTGGAGCATGCTACTTTGGAGTCCCATGAAACATCTCCCCATACTACAAGTACTGATCCAAACGTGTTTATACCACTCATTATTATTGAAGAAGACTCACTTACATGTCAAGACATACGAGTGCTCATTTGATCCAATAAAAGATCAGTTGGTACAACAAGTAGTTGCTTCCAATGTTCAACAACCTACATATGTCCGACACACTTTAGACCAATCCACTTATCAGATGAGCCAGTCTTCGAATGAGGAATGTCAGGTTTATTCCAAGAGGAAGAAGAATGGAGGCCGACTCGAGCTCAAGAACTTATTGGACGATACATTAGTTACTACTGGTAATGACACTCATCTTACCAATTTGTTAGCTGAATCCTTTCCTAGAACTAGAGGCAGAGGCAAGACAAAATTGGGTCGCTCTCTAGCTAACTGATACTACGTGTTTTGGTACTTTTGGTTTTTTGGGCTCTCACGTAATTTATGTATTTTCTTTTTTTGGAACATTTTGCATGTGATGTTTACCGTGTGGGTAGGGTGTCATGTTTCGGCCCTCTGATACAACTTATTTGTATATTTTTTTCTTTTTAATATATTAGCCCTTGAGCTTTCTCAAAAAAAAAAAATGTATGTAATTTTCGCTTTTCAGAAATAGTCAACAACAATATAAAAGTAACAGATATGCAGACAACATTAAGAAAACAATGGTCATACAGGGGTCAAAACTCCCTAAAAAACTGGGTTAAATGTCTGTATGCAGCTAACCTTTTAATTTCTACAAAAAAACTTCAACATTTTTTACCGGGCGTGTAGACTCAGCAGAGATGTTGGACAATAAGGATGGACGCACTTTAGACACAAACACAATTATATACCAAATAAAACTTTGTTAGGATGCAATAAAACCAGCACTAGAGTTCTGGATCCCATAAGAATTTTAGTTGAGTATCACTGATATTTTCAATATCTATAATTTATCTTTTAGTTATTAATTAAAAGGGTTTACATATTGCATGGAGCTACTGCTAAATACAAAATGTACGAAGAGACTATTATATTCACTCTAAGCTCTGCGTTTGAATAGATACTGCTTTCGTGACTCGAACTTAGCCCTACAGACCATACTATAAAGGTAACTTAGTAATTGCTCCAAGAAATATATTTTATCAAAGTGATGGTAAAACTTCAAATATTATATCAAAACCACTGATCTTTATCTCCCACATGAGAATAATTTAAGGACTAAATTTAATCACTTTCATGAAGGTATGCACATAGATCATAATAAAAAAAAGAAAAGAGAATAATCCACTTAACCAAAAAAAAATGCTGTCTTTATTTCTCTTACATAAATTCTGAAACTATGTTAAACAGTATAAACTGCATTTTAATAAAATTCATAGTATTAGAGTACTCACACATCGTTAAGGTTGTGAAAACATAACTCAAGATCATGACTAATATAAATATCTAGACCGTATTATGTGACAACAACAATAACAACAACAAGCTTTTACCCCACTAAGTGGGGTCGGCTACATGAATCCTTTTTTTTTCATCGTGTCCTATTAAGTGTCATATTTTCTAAGAGATTAAGATCATTTTTATAGAACATGTCCGGCACTTCTCAGGTCCACCTCTACTGTTCTTAACATAAATTCAATTTAAAACATCTACTCTCCTAACCAGACCTTTAGATGGTCGACAATGATACCAAACTATCTAAAATGACTCTCTCTAATCTTGTCAGATGCTGGAGCAATACCAACCCTTTCACGGATATATTTGTTTCGCATTTTGTCTCTTAAGTACAAAGACATCCATCCACCTAACCATTCTCATCTCAGCAATACTTAACTTTGTTTCAACAATACTTAACTTTGTTTTATGCCTCTTATAGGCCAACATTCTGTGCCAGAAAACATTGCAAGTCTCACAACCATTTTATAAAATTTTTCTTTTAAGTCTTAAGTCTAAGCGGTATTAAGTCTAAGCGGTACTTTTCTATCACACAATAGGCTCGATGCATTCTTCCACTTCAAAATCCAACTTGAA